TAATGCACATACATAGACACATAGAAAAAGTGCTCTAGTGCTCTATTGCGCTCCTTTGTACTCTTAACTTGTACAAACCATTTGTACATAATAAAAGCCTCTCTTTGAGCATTCCAAAACTCTTGTGCATTGTGAGAAAGTGTGCCTATCTAAGCTTCCATTTTGTGGGAAGGCTGACTTAGTTGGATTTTGGGGAAACCAATCGACTAAGTGCCGCACGAGGACAAGATAAAGTTCTTGTACCGTAACACATTGCTCTTATAAAATTTTAAGTAATAAATTATTTTTAACATGAAATAAAGATTTACTTAATTAAAAATTTAAACTAAGCTAGTAGTGTCTTTTCCATCTTATTTGCATCTCAAAAGTTTAAGCCTCAATTATTTATAAATTGTCAAATTTTATTTTCAACTATCCATTTTAGTGGATTCACATGTTCTATCTACTTATCCATAACTCATTTTTATCAATTTATAAGTTAATTTGGTTATAAATTCTTCCCAAGCGGAGTTTCATTCGTGGCCATTGAATTTTTAGTGAAATCTCAACTGAGTCGCAAAACCTTAAATTAGTTTCAAATTTTATCATTGTGTCACATTTTGTCAACCGTCATCATTTAAATTGAAGAAAATTGTCTTTCACATCATTGCTAAGGGTGCGTTTAGTTTGCAATTTTCACATTGTTTTCAATTTTGCAAAACATTGAAAACGTGTTAAGTCTGGTATTTCCGAAAATGTATTTTCGAAAACAAAGTTAAATTTATAACATAAAACTTAAAAAACATTTTTGACGTTTTGATTGTTTTCAGTGAAAATTTTGAAAAAACTCAAAATATAGAAAACAATCTTTTAATTAAAATTTTATTTGAAAATTTTTTTAAAAATTAAAAATTTCAAAAGATGAAAATATAAATTTTAAATTTTACAATTAAAAAAATTTAAATTTGAAAAATATAATTGATAAATTATTAAAAATAAAAAAATAAAATTCTAATAAACAAAATCTAAAATGCTTAAAAAACTAAATTCTAAAAAATAAAGGATAGAAGATTTTGAAAAAATAAAATTATAAACATTTTAAGAAAATAAAAATGAAAATAGTTTAAGATCTTAATGATTATTTAGATAAAATTTTTAAGCAGATAACAATAATCTCAGTTAACACTATTAAATTTATTTTATTTTCTATATTTTGAACTCAATTTCTTACATTTTTTTTTGTTTTACTTTGGTTGTGAAAAAAAATGTTGTAAAATTCACCAAATTTAAATTGTGTATATTACTTGATAATATATTAATATAATTTTAATTTTTTTTATGAATAATCAAATTTCTTGAAATAAAATGTCATAAAATAATTTTTAAAATTTTAAACTAGACGTATTTTATAGTTTTATGTTCTGAAAATAATTTTCAAAATGACAAATCAAACGCATTTCTAACAATTTTAAAACATATGCTCAAAACAAAAAATAGATAATAAACTGAAAATTGAAACACAAATCAAACGAGCTCTAAGTGGCTAGCTAAAAACAAAGGAAAAAAATTCACAACTCACGTATTAATTATGGGCCAATTCAATTTCCAGGTTTTAAGCTTTAAAATTCAAAACTCATGTGACAAATGAATAATTAAAAATATTTTATTAATTAAGTATATTAAAGTTACAATTATACAATTAATGATCACGATACGTACTTATAGGTCACATTTTATTTATTGACCACATATTATCAAATTAATTGATCACAGATTATTTCACAGTCATAAATAAAAAAATTCATAAGTCATAATTTATTTTATTGATCACAAATAAAAAAAAAACATAGGTTATTCGTCGATTATAAATTTTCAAATTAATAGGTTACAAATTATTTGCAGGTGCACATCGGCGTTTTTTTTCCTCCATCATCGTCACTGCACTGTTGCTCTATGAATGCCACCTCTAGGCGGCCTTGTGAGAGAAGTTTGAGACAAAGAGAGAAGATTTGGCATGTAGCGATGATTTTTCCATCATCACCAGTGCTGCACGCGACAACTATATGAGCACCTCCTCAGAGGCAGCCTGTGAGAGAATAGTGAAACGGAGAGAGACGGGATGGGAAATATTTTAGGTTTTGTAGTGGGGGTAGGGTCGATGGGATGGGAGTGGGTAAATTTTATAATTTTATTAATAATTTAATTAATATATGATTTTTGGTTAAATAAACTTCACACTTGATTTTTTATTTGGGAAACTTAACTACCTGTTAATATGTAATTTCCACAAAAACAAATATGATAAAATGAGGACTATGATAATTTATATAGATTAAAAAGATTAAAACACATATTTTTTTGAACATTTTTATGACATGGGTTATGGCAATTGGTATGCCATGTAGCAATTACGTAGAACATTTGTTGTAGTGTGATGGCCAATTAATCAGTTTTATCATATTAGGAGACGGTAAGTGACGAAGTGATGAAATTCAAAACTGATCAATTGAGATTTCACTGAAATTTCAGTGGCATTAATTGAAAATTTACTCTTTCTAAATGTAGTCACAAGTCCAAATATATCATATTCATCTCTTATATATATCTTCTCTCTCAATCAAATTTTGATATGTCACTGTAGTTTTATAGTATCAAAATTTTAGTAGAACATAATTTTTCAAAATTTTTTTTTTTCGAAGTTTAAGGTTTGACACACTTCAAAATTATTATAGTGAGGTGTCCAAATTTAGAGCCCATTTGTTTCCGATTTCAAGAAAAAATTGTACCGTTGCTACATTGTTATAGTCACAAAATTTGATTTTTTTGTGTCATAGTGATCCCCACAATTTTTTTTTTAAAAAAAGGGTCAAAAAAAGCCTTTTCTTGGTGAAATAATAGGAAACAAACAGGGATTAATTACAACATGAAATCAAATCTGAAGAGCAAATTGAGGTTGTTTGGTACAGAAGTGGGTCCAACGGGGGGAAAAGAGCAAATAGAGGCACATGTGGGGGTGGAAGATGTGGATAGAAAAAAGCGTTTCACTATCTCACTCATAGCAAAAGGCATCTTAATCATTGTCCCTTTTTGGACCAAGTCCAATACTCCACGTTCTTCCTTCCCTATTCCTCAGTCAGTGTTCCCTTTCTCCAAATATAAAATAGATGTTTTGTTGGAAGTAATGAGCCCCATCATTAATGTCTCCCACTCCACTCTAGTTTTAGCTTCTGTTTTCTTTTCTCCTATTCCCTATTCATTGGTTGGTATAGTTTTTTCCTTTTTCTTTTTGCTTTTTAAAAAATGATTTATGATTTGGAATTTTTTCTGGGTTTTGCAGAGCCTTCGTCGATTAATGCAGTATAGTTATTACTTTTCATTACAGAGGTACGGTACATTGGATTCTCTTGATTTGCTCTTTTTACGCTTATCTTGAAAACCAGAGGAATTTTGTGTGTGTGTGTGTGTGTGATCGATAGTTGTGTTAGCTAAGTATTTGCTTCTGGATCTTCGACCTCTTTAAGTTTTGTGTTTTAATTTATAATTTGCTTCATTATAGGATCTATACCAGTATATAAAAACTCAAATCCATGTGTTTAAATATGAAACAAATATCATTTTCTCTTTTATCTTTTGTTTGGGTATTTTTAGTTTTTTCCAGAGAGTAGATTAGAAGAATACTCAGCTATTGAATCTGAGGTTATGGACTCGGCTGTTGCACATAACTTAAAACAATGCCAATTACCGGTGGCAATAGGAGTGATAGGATCATTTTGTAGTCCCTTTATTCTTTCATATTTATTTAGATTTACTTATACAAATGTTTTATGTCTCATCTGGATAATGTATATGTCAATCTTATTTAGTTAATATTTTGATCTCGGGTTCCACCCTTTAACATGTCCCAGAGGACGGTGGCTCGTTTGAGTGTATCAATCTTGGAACCGAATGCTCGTTTGAGTTTTTGACTATGTCTTGGGAAAAACTTGTATACCTTTCCTCTTTGTCCAAATAAAGACAGGCAACCTCAAAAGAAATAACGAGGAAGGTCAAAAGAACAAGATTTATGTAGTTCGAAAATATTCCCAGAGCCACGGGACAAACTCCGAATCAAGTTTCCACTGTAAAAATAAGTGTTGGTTTGCTTTTCTTTAAGGCGGGGTGACATTTTTAGTCTGGCATATACTAATGCTATGTTACAAAATGGAGCTATCATCCTTTGCACTAATATTTTCCCTTTTATCATTGCAATTCATTCATTAGAGAAATTTGTTTTCAGTTCTAAATGGGGAAGGATTATAGTGGATCCCCAAAGCTCCAACTGCGGGAATTAAAGAGAAAACGTCTCACGTGGGTGTTAGTTGTTAGCGGTCTATGTGTGTTTTTCTATGTTCTGGGGGCTTGGCAGGGTGCGAGTCGTGCTCCAACCAGTCAGTCTGAACTCTACTCCAGAGTTGGATGTGATGTTGGTTCAACTGAGAAGATGAGCACTGACAAGGTTCCATCATCATCCTCGGATCCACAACCGGTGTCAGACCCGCTAGACTTTGAAAGCCATCATCAGTTAGAAGTTAACAGTTCTGAGGAATCGCAAAAATTCCAGTCATGTGATATGTCATTCAGTGAATACACTCCATGCCAAGATCCACGAAGGGGTAGGAAATTTGATCGAAACATGATGAAGTATAGAGAGAGACATTGCCCTAAAAAGGAAGAGTTACTCCGCTGCCTCATACCTGCTCCACCAAACTACAAGTCTCCTTTCAAATGGCCACAGAGCCGGGATTATACATGGTATGCTAACATCCCCCACAAGGAGCTTAGCATTGAGAAAGCCAATCAGAATTGGATCCAAGTCAAAGGAGATCGCTTCAGATTTCCTGGGGGAGGCACGATGTTTCCACGTGGTGCTGATGCTTACGTTGATGATATTAATGAACTTATCCCCCTTAATGATGGAACCATTCGAACTGCTGTTGATACAGGTTGTGGAGTAAGTACATCTCTATCTATCGTGAACAATATTTCATTGTTTATAGGTATAAAAAATACGCAAGTTAATTATAGTACACTTCTCATTTTGAACTTTTTAGGTTGCAAGTTGGGGTGCTTACTTGCTAAAGAGGGACATAATAGCAATGTCTTTTGCTCCAAGAGATACACATGAAGCACAGGTTTGGTTTGCATTAGAACGAGGCGTTCCAGCAATGATTGGCATCATGGGTTCACAGAGACTTCCATATCCTGCAAGGGCTTTTGATATGGCTCACTGTTCACGGTGCCTCATCCCGTGGTTCAGCAATGGTAAGGCGTTCACAGATTTTTGTTATATTACAAGGGGATGAATCCATAAGAAATATTTTTATATGATTGCTTGCAGATGGAATGTATCTGATTGAAGTAGATAGGATTTTGAGGCCAGGTGGTTATTGGATACTCTCTGGCCCTCCGATTCGTTGGAAGAAATACTGGAGAGGTTGGGAGAGGACCAAAGAAGACTTGAAGCAGGAGCAAGATTCGATCGAGGATGTTGCTAAACGACTCTGTTGGAAGAAAGTGATTGAAAAAGGAGATCTTTCTGTGTGGCAAAAACCTTTCAACCACATCCAGTGTATCAAGAACAAACAGATATATCGTACACCGCATATCTGCAAATCGGACAATGCTGATGCAGCTTGGTACTTACTGAAAATCTTTCTTTGATCATATGATTTGACTTACAAATGTTAATTTTTGATTTATATACATGACTTCATCTTATTAACAAGGTACAAGAACATGGAAATTTGCATAACTCCGCTGCCAGAGGTAAGCAGCTCTGAAGAGATCGCGGGAGGCAAATTAGAGAAATGGCCTGATCGTGCCTTTGCTGTTCCGCCAAGAATTAGTAGTGGATCAATCCCAGGTGTCACTGTTGAGAAATTCCAACAGGATAACGAACTGTGGAAGGGTCGTGTGGCACATTACAAACATATTGTTAGTCAATTACATCAAGGACAATATCGAAATGTAATGGACATGAATGCTTATTTTGGTGGATTCGCTGCAGCCATGATGAAATACCCAGTATGGGTTATGAATGTGGTCCCTGCAAATTCAGATGTTGACACATTAGGATTGATATATGAGCGTGGTTTCATTGGTACATATCAAGATTGGTGTGAAGCATTCTCAACGTATCCACGAACATATGATCTCATTCACGCAGGCGGTGTCTTCAGCATATATCAAGACAGGTAAAATGCTATCTGTTGTCTGTTAATAAAGAACTGATCTTTCAATTGTTATCTAGTATAACTCTTGTTTGGCTTATCCTGCTAGGTGTGACATCACATACATTCTCCTCGAGATGGATAGAATCCTACGACCTGAAGGGACTGTTATGTTCAGAGACGTGGTGGAAGTCTTGGTGAAGATTAAAAGTATAACAGACGGAATGAGATGGGAAAGTCGAATCATGGATCATGAAAGTGGACCATTTAACCCTGAGAAGATTCTCCTAGCCAAGAAAAGTTATTGGACCGGTGAAGCTAAAAAACAACGCTAGCAACAGGGTTAGAGTTCGCCGTAGTACTGCAGAATTCATGTAGAGATTAGGATGCTCACCCAAATTCTCAGCCACAAGGCACTTTTTCTGTATTTGTAGAAGTTATGATTCACCCTGTAACAAAACTCCATTAGCTTCTAAATTTATTACTTGTCATCTCTATGTATACTTCAGCTTTATACCGGTTGGTCTGTTGGAAAATAAAGTTTGCACAAAGAGGAATAAAGAAGAAACAAAAAACAAATGATCAAGAATTTGTAAAGAAAATCAAAGGCTTAAACACATAATTGTTGTCCTCAATCGTTTAAGCACATAGTGTTTTCTATCAAAAGTTTAAGAACACTATTGAAGAAATATGAATATGAAGGGAAGAATATAAATTCTTTATCAAAATGGTGCCAAAAATTCCCGAAAAGTTGCATGCTTTTCACCAAAGGCCACCAAAAATTCAAACTAAAAAACTAGCATAATAGCTATTTTTTAGTTCTATGCGACCGCATAGAACAAACCTATGTCGTCGCATAGATATATCAATTTCAAGGCATATAATCCCTGTGCGTTTATATGCGATTGTATGCCTTACAGGCTTATGCGGCAGCATATGCCAAAGTTTTGGCTTGCAAAAACCTCTCATTCCAAAACCTATTTTATTGATTTTGAACAATAATTTAAACAATCTCCCACTTATTCAAAATTCAATAAAATCTCATATTCAAAATATACCATACTAATGCATAAGGATTAGATATCTTTCGATTTGAATCTAACCATAGTGTAATTCAAACAAAGTAAAATCGAAATTAAAGGTAGCAAAAAAGTTTTGAACCAATTATTTCTTATGACAATACTGGCAAGAACACACACACATACAAGAATTACGTGTTCTCAAGTTCCCCGATCTCGCTTAGCGCTAATATGGCATTGCGCTCATCTTTTTCAACAAACTATTAAGAGAGAAACTCTAACTCTCTATTGAGGCGTTACCACCTCGAAGTTTATCTAGGTGAAGTTCTTCCAATATCTTTGTTACTTTTAGAGATATTTATACTTATTACTGAACTTTATTAAGAGCTTAAAGTTCAACTCTCACTTCAGTAACAACCAACATTATATAATTAAGATAGGGTTATTGCGGATTTTATAATGCTGAAACTATCCACATATCAAATGACTTGTTTTTACATTTTGAACCCGTGAATTACTTTTTAAGTAATGATAGGTAGTGTTGCTATCATTGATGAATCTTTTGATTTAAGAGTTTCAACCCCTTCCTACTTGAAGTAGATGTTACTAAATCTTTATATAGAAATTTAGTTAAAGGATTCACTAGTTTCTTTATTGACTTAACATAATTTAAAGAAGTTATTCCACTTTTGATTAATTTCCTAATGTAGTCATGCCTTAAATTCATATGTCTAGACTTTCCATTGTATACCTAGTTGTATGCCTTTGCCAATGTGGCTTGACTATCACCAATGATAGATATTGAAAATGTATTCTTCGATCCCAAAAGTATCTCATAAAGTAGATCCTTAAGCTACTCAACTTCTTTCTCAATTTCTGAGAGTGCTACAAATTCAAATTCCATAGTTGAGCGTGTTATACATGTTTGTTCCTTTGATTTCCAAGAAGAAGTACCTCCTCCAAGAGTAAACACCAAACTCGAACTAGATTTACTTTCACCTGTACTAGATATCCAACTAGTATCAGTAAATCCTTCTAATATAGCCGAAAATTTAGTATATTGTAGACCTAAGGTCTTGGTTTTCTTTAAATATCCAAGAACTCTTCAAAAGGTCATTACTCGAATAACTAGTAAACCTACTAAACTTACTAATATCAAATTCTATGTCCGGTCTTGTGCTATGAACTGCATACAATAGATTNTAATTGTAAATGTTATATCCTGTCTTGTGCATTGAACTGCATACATACGACTCCTTATAACATTTACATGCTCCAATTGAGCAATATCTCTTTCATTATTTTTTATAAGTTTTAAATTTGGATCAAGAGGAGTACTATATTCTTTTATGTTCAAATGTATGGTATCCACTTGTCCAAGATCCTTCATCTTGAATGTGGAAGGTAAAAACCTATTCGTTTCTTTTATTCTATCCATGTGATTACTCAAAATCAACATATCATCAATATATAAGCAAATAAGTATAACACAATTATCACATAATTTGGAATACAAGCATTTATCTATACTATTATGTTTAAGTCCAAATAATTTAATACCAAGTCAAATTTCTCATACCATTTCTTAGATACTTACTTTAAACCATATAATGATTTCAGTAATTTACATACTTTATGTTCATTTCCTCATAAATCTCCTTATCAAGATCCTCATTTAAGAATGATGTCTTGACATACATTTGATGAACATGCAAGTCATGTATAGAAGCTAATGCAAATAATATCCTAATTGATGTTATTCTAGCTACCAGTGCATAAGTATCAAAATAGTCTATTCCTTCCTTTTGTCGATAACCTTTTGCTACTAGTCTAGACTTAAAGGTATTAAGAGAATCATTAACATTGTACTTTCTCCTATACACCAATTTACATCCAATAGGTTTGGATCCAAGTGGTAAATCGACAAGTTTCCATGTATTGTTTGACATAATTGAATCCATTTCATCATTAATTGCGTCTTTCCAAAAAAAATGCTATCTTGAGAAGGACCATGCTAGTTGTACAATCGAGGTGACAACCTCGGTTGACAACCACTCACATGGGGGGTCTGCTTTTTTTTTTTTTTTAAAAATTGTTTAAACATGCGGACCCTGCACACATGTGAGAGGCTGTCAACCCAGGTTGTCAACCTCGATTGTATAAATAGCATTTTCCTCTTGAGAATTCATAGTCTCTCTATAAGTTTTAGGATATGTTTCTACTTGTAGAACAAAAGTAATTGTTCTTACAACATGCTTTCCATTTCCTTAAGTAGAACGAAACAAGTAGAGAGTCAATTTCATCATATCCTAAAGACTTCTCAATTCGAGTTCTTTTACTCATTCGAGGTTCATTGGATTCATTAACATCTTTAGAAGATATTTCATCCTGTGTTCTACTAGAGCTTGTGATTTCTTTATTAATTTCCCTTAATTTATTATCCGAAGATAGTGAATTATCGAAGAATTCTACATCGCTAGATTCAATAATCACATTGGACTCCAAATTCAACAATCCATATGATTTGCTATTACTAGCATATCTAACAAAGGCACATTTGATGTCTTTTGGACCTAATTTGGTCCTATTAGGTTTTGTGTTCTTACAATAAGTAAGACACCCCACACTTTGAAGTATCCAATGATTGGTTTTCTTCCTTTCCACAATTCAAAAGGAGAAACCTTAGTAAATTTTGAAGGAATTCTATTCAATATCCTACATACACTCAATAATGATTCACCCCATAAATTAAATGGCAACTTAGAATAAATTAACATGACATTTATCATTTCAACTAAAGTTCTATTTATTCTTTCAGCCAAACCATTTTGTTCGGGTGTCCTAGGTGCAAAACATTGATGAATTATATCTTATTGTTCGCAAAATGAATTAAAATCACTAGAAAAGTACTTACCTCCTCTATCACTTCTTAGAGTTTTTATTTTCTTACTTAGTTGATTTTCAGCTTTATTTTTATATACTCTAAACATGTCAAACGCTTCATGTTTATGCTTCATTAAGTAAACATACGTATATCTAGTGAAATCATTAATGAATGTAATAAAATACATATTTCCTCCTCTGGTCATCATACCATTTAATTCACATTTATCCGTATAAATTACTTCTAGGATACTAGAAGTTCTTTTTACACTTTGATATGGTTTCTTAGTCATTTTAGATTATATACAAGTTTCACATTTAAATGCATTATTTTCATTATATGATATTAAGTCACATTTTAACATTATTTTCATGGTACTCTTATCTATGTGATCTAATCTAGCATGCCATAATGTAAATGAATCAACAATATAAGCAAAATCAATTTTATTATTAATCAATTTGTCATCGGTACATAATTTGACAATTCCTTTACAAGAATAGCCTTTTCTAATAAATTTCTCATTTAGGAATAGTACAAGTTTACTGGATTCATAAACACATTTTATACCCGATTTTTCTAATAGATTACTACTAAGTTCCTATTTATATCAGGAACATGTAGTACATTTGTTAAAGTAATGATTTCCCGGAAGGGAAGATGATTTCTACATTTCCTTTTCCAAACACTTTGGATCGAACTTCGTTACCCATCTGAATCTCTTGTTCTCCATTCACTTCATAATAAGTCTTGAATAAAGACTTGTCAAATGATACATGTACAGTTGCACACGTATCATATCACCAACCGGGAACATTTTCCTTGATAGCATTAATTTCGCTTAAGGTGGCCACAATGTTGTCTTCCTTGATGAGTTTACTTTTCTTTCGGAGTTGTTTTTTTTCCCGGTGTCAACATTCTTTTACATAATGTCCAGGTTTTCCACACAAGAAATAACTACCTTTGGTCTTCTTCTTGAACTTATTAAGGTTCCTTGAAGGCTTTCTCTTGTTGGATTTATTAGAAATCTCGATTTTCTCCACGACATTGACTTTTGAAGTGCCTTTATAAAAATTGTCATTCTTATCTCTAGCCCTCAATTTTTCCTCAATTCAAAGATGTTTCTGTAATTGTTCCAAAGATTAGTTTTCGGAATTATGCATGATTTTCTTCCGATATCCTTTCTAAGTTTCGGGAAGTTTTGCAATAATTGCTCACACTTGAAAAGTTTTCGTAATCTCAATTTTGACCGCCTTCAACTTGTTGACAAACACTTGTAATTAATGAATTTGGGGAAGAAGGAGAATATTCTCAAGAAATTTAAAATCAAAAGACCTCGAGATAAGGAGTTTCTTCGTACCTTTTTTTTCGGCTTTGTACTTACTCTCCAAAGCGTTCCAGATTTCTTTGCCGATGAAGTATTGGTGTAGAG